GTGTGTGTGTGTGTGTGGGGCAAGAATGACATGGTTCGAGTGTGTGGGTGGACAGCAGCTGCAGGGTTCTCCATGTGCCTTTCCGAATATGTGTATGCCCATGCGTATAGTGTGTATGAACATGGAGGGTAAGGTGTGTGTGTGTGTGTGTGTGTTGTATCTTCAGTAGTGAGAGCATCAGAGTTCAGTCAAGTTAACAGATGAGGCATTAATGTAGAATTTACACCTTCAGGTCAGGGCACCAAAAACCTAATGAGCGCTTACAATGCAGCTGGTGGCTCAAAAGTGTGTGTGTGTGTGTGTGTGTATGCAGTCTTACTGTTGTGTTGGCTCACACAGAACTCTTTACTGTCATGATCATCACTATCTCTAATTTCACTCTAATTCTTCTACCCTATGTCTTTGTTTCTATGCCGTAATAATAATGAAGGCGTGAGACGTTTCTAACGCAGGCAAAAAAAAGAGAAGCGTAAAAAGAAACAACACCCATAAAATCAGATGTGGCAGTAAAATCCAGTCATGTTTCTGTGTGTGCACCACATGGAGACACCAACCAGTGAAAAGACATATTATTTACAGCACTGCGGGAAGTCGCAGCCCAGCTTAGACAGACAAAAAATATATAGACACACGAGGGCAGGATCTTCTTTTAGCCAACTTAAAGCTCAGAGCCGTTTATCATGTTGGATCTCAGCCCGCTGTTTCCTGCAAGCTGCATGTAGCCTGATGTTGCACTTCTACCTTGGGAAGGCCTGTCCTGGGGTCAGGAAGTTAATATCACACACAAATGAACACAGATACACGGTGGATCTTTCCCTGACCTCCTCGCTTGCTCTCACAGGTATTCGTGCAGTTCAAATTCATTCACCTACACACACACACACACAGAGGCAGGTCCTATCTTTGTATTAGGTTGACGGAGGGGGGCAGGCAGTGTTATAGCTGCCAAAGTTATATTTACATCAGCCAGTGTAATATTATCAATAAAAGCCAAGAGGACAGCAGCTCGTCATAACTCACGACAGGCAGGGAGAACTACAGCTGTTCAGAGCTCTTCTTCCTCTGAAGCAACGGGGGAGACAAAGAAAAATGTTAGAGCAGGGACAAAGAAAGAGGGCCAGTGAGGAAGGAAAAAAGGCAAGTAGAAAGAAAAGAGGACAGATAAAGACACAATAAAGGGAGGTGGGTGACACTAATTCAAGACAGATATCCAACATAAAGCTATTTTACCAGGCTGGGAAATAATCATATATTATTCATTAGGGCTGTAACTAATTATTATTATCTTCAATTCAGTTTCAGTAGTCTGTTGACTATTCAGTTGATCATGACCAACTAATTGTTTAGTTTATAAAAGTTAGAAAAAAGAAAATTCTGATCACAATCTTTAAATGTCTTGTTTTGTCTAACCAACAGTCCAAAACCTGAAAATATTACATTTGAGATCATCTGAGAAAAACAGGAAATCCTCACAATGGAGAAGCCAGAACCAGAGAATTATTGGGTTTTTGTTTGATAAATGATTAAGTCATGATATAGTTGCCGATTAATTTTCTGTTGATTGACTAATCAATTAACTGCCTATCGTTTGAAGTCTTATTTTCATCGACTTCTGGTGGAATGCTGTCATATAACAACACTCAACTGAACATCAGATCAGTTTGATCGCTCTATATGGGATTTTGCATACATTTGCCATATTATGATACACTGAATATCTATCATGATATTGATTTCTTATATATCGCCCAACCTTACGTCCAATTTAATAGATTTTCAAACATACTTCAATATGAGCTCTACTTTCACGCATGCCAGTAATCATGTCTTTTTTTTTTCTTCCTCTTTTTCTTCTTTGGTGAAATTAAGTGTCACGTCTCATTTTGGAACGATGCTCTTCAAATACTTCATCACCGGCCCTCTCAGTTTCACTGCAGACGCTGGCTGACCTCATTGAGTGACCTCACCAATCACAGATCAAAGTCATCGGGTTTCTGGCTGGTCAGGTTAATCAGAGGACCACCCTGAAGAACCAATCAGGTAACATCTTACTTGACTTATAGGAATTAGTCTGCTTTTGACGAGCAACTATGTATGTTTCCTCTAGTGATGCACTGATACATGTTTGAGGTTCTCCTGTTTTCTCTGAGCATGTCAGTGAGTCTGTTTTGGGGTATTCAATACTTTGATTTAAATTACATCAGTCATTAGTCATTTTGATTTGTTTAATTTGGGCTTTGAAGGATATGGGAATGCATGCAAAACAATAGTGAGTGAGTCAATGGTAAGGGAAGGAAAATAATTAGAGGTTCTTACATAAAGTAATAAACTCTTGAGCCTAAAATTGAAACTTCATATATTGTCCATAGTTTCTATTTTTCATATTTAGATTACTAAATACAAATCTAGCATTTGAAATCAATGTTTGTGTGTGGAGTGTGCATGAATATGTCCATACATATGTGTGTGTGTGTTGCTAAGAATGGAGTGCTTGTATCACTTGCCCCTTTTTGAGGGGAAGTGACATGAGATACTTAAAGACCAAAATTGCCTCACTTAGCCAAACAAACTAGCTCTCCTGACATACACACTCATCAACACACACACACACACACACACACATATATACTTGCACACACGCATGTCTAGAGCTCTCTAATGGCCAATAAACTCAGGATGTTCATTCCTCCTCTCAGGCTCACAAAAACCGAACAGCGAAATTATTGAGAGTAAACGGATTCCACTGTAGCTCTGCCTAATGACCACACACAAACACATACACACACACTCACAGTTTGAGGGTCAGTGAAGGCTGAAGCAGATAGGATGTACATAATAACCCTTACATGGTTTTTATAAGCCTTCAGTTCTTTTGAAACGACAACGGCTGGGAGAGAACCCAGGCCTGCATATAAAAATACTGAGCTTTCTGGAGCAAGACTTTGAAGTTTTTTTCTGCTTGATCTCAACTGAAGAGACACTCAGCCACTATGTGTCCATGCAAACAGAAAGACATATTACTAGTGAAAAAGAACATGTATGTAGGTTGCACTTTTTACCCAAGATTAGTGTGAAAAGGTTAAACACGTAAAGAGATGGATATAAATTCTGATTATTGCAGAAAATCTGTCTAATATGCAAATAATGGCTTCAAGATGAAACCTTTAAGTCTGCAAGAATTTAAAAAATATAATATCTGATTGAATAAAAATGATTTGTATCATGTAACAGAGGATCTTAATAGGAATCCCCAGCTCTAAGATAACACATCCTACCCTACTCATGTACATAAATAGCCATATAAACTTTAAACAGAGGTAGTACAAATTACATCCGAGAAGTCTTGATGCAGAGGAACAGACATTGCTCCCAAAAATTTACAAGGCATTTCCTTCCTTGTCTTGATACTCCCATTTGACCCATTTACAAATTATTGTCCCGTCTCAGCTGGTAAATTCACTTTCCCTCCAAAGGACAATTTTTGTTCTAATCCCTCTACAAATGTAAAGAATTCTGTCGTTTTATTGGGATGGCTAAAGGGGGGAATGGGCCATGTACAGTGCAACTGTGTGTGTGTGTGAAAGAGAGCGAAAGAGAGAGAAAAAAACTTCTAATGGTTTCTTTCGGGACCATATGTCCTTTGCGTCAGCACAGCAGTAGTACAGCCTCTACAGTTACAGTCAGGTTCGGTGTGAAAGACAGACATGTTGTATAATAGAAGGTGGGAGGTGGAAGGTGGAGGGCATTAAGTTTTGTGTGTGTGTGTGTGAGTGCACAGAGCGTTTTTGAAAAAGCAGATCTCTCCGTATTGCCTTACCGTCAATAAATCTAGGCGCTCGCTATAGTGCTGACATAAATTAGCCTGCACCCCCAACCCACCTACCTATCTAAAAGCTAACCACCACCTCAACCTTTTCTTACACACACACACACAAAGTTGACACACGCCCTACTACACTTTTACATCAATAGGTATCATGCTCTCTACTTTGCACACAGGCACATGCAAACTTGCACTTACAAGCAAACACATGCATCCACGCACACTCTGCACACACACACTCACACTCAGCAGCACAGACACCCACAGAGTTTTGGGTAATTAGTAGTCTTTCTTGGTGGTGAGTGCGTTTCCTCCTCAGGGTCACTGATAGCAAAACGCCTGTTAAACTTTATATTCCCTGATGGGGTGGAAAAGAGAGCGAAACAGAAGGAGAGTACACTCTCATTAACACAGTGCTCTCTGTGTGTGTACACCTGGAGTTTAACGTTTGTGTGTGCGTGTGCGTGTGTGTGTAGCTGTCTGGGTGGTGTTTCCACGAGCTGGCCAAGTCTTGTGAAGGTGAAAGGATACTCTTTAACCTCAATTTAGACCGAGCCTTAAAACTCCACACTGTATTCGTCAGTAGGGGAGAGACAATGTGTGTGTTTTATACCCTGTATTGTCTCACAGATGGTTCCTTTCTTCAACAATCTGGCAAATGAAAGAACTGCTGGAAGGTGCGTGTTAGCTAGACAGCCCTGATCTCATATTGTGACACAATATGGAAACATTGTGAAATTATAAACTGGTTAAAACACTTAACGACACTCAGATGAGATGACTGTAAACAAACAAAGAGCTGCAACGATTAATTGATTAGTTGCACAAAAGAAGTCTGTTTTAAAGCAAAAATGCCAGACATTCTCTAGTTACAGCTTTTCAAATGTGAGTATTTTCCTATTTTCCTGTTTTTATTTGCCTTAAGTGATATTAAAATGATTATGTTTGGGACTGTTGGTCAGACAAAACTAATTATATTTGGACATCACAGTTGGCTACAAAATATTTAAATTAGTGAAGGAACATTTTCTTGTGTGTGATAAGGAGTCGCAGAACTGAAATTATTCTGCACTGTTCAACAGCACTTAAGCAGCTATTGGGCATGTATTTAGTAATTACCAGCAGAATGTTTAAATATGTCTAGTAATGACATTGAAATTATTAAGAGTTCAAAATATAAATGAATAATTCCTTCAGTATTCATGTCTGTGCACACTGGTTCACTTTATGTATGAAATCATTTTCCTGTTTACAAAAAGAGGGATGTGGGAGATTTTAATGGAGTCAGCAAAAAAAGCTGCTCCGAGGCACTTTGACGTTTTAAAACATACACACTTTGGGTGAATTAAAGAGATTCTGTAGATAGCTCTGAAAGCTTATCCTGTGCACCTCAGCAAATTCTAAAGCCCTTTTTCTTATGTGATCATTTTAGGTAATTGAATAAATTCCCAGAGCTCTGTGTGGAATTAGAAGAAGCTAGACTTTGGTCAGAGGAGAGCTTTTAAGAAACCAGGGAACATACATCAGAGGCCGAGCAGTCGATGGTAATGTAATGAACGTTTACATTTACCTGCCTCTCACCTTTCCTGTTGGTATATCCACAATCTAAGCTGCACTCGTCGAAGCACTTGTCCAGTTTGTTTTCATAAATATAAAGTCTCTCTTTTTTTTCCTCATCTCTCGCCTCCTCGATCCTACCTTAAAAATGAAATATTTGGTGTTTCAGTGAGGGGGCTGGAGTGTGGTGTGTGTGTGTGTGTGTGTGTGAGAAGGGGGCCAGAGGGCTGGTTACGATGCCAGAACTAGCACTTCTGGTTGGAAAAAAGGGGTCTGAGTTTTCGTCAGACGTGCAGCGCAGACAGACAGGGCGAAGGAAAGGCTTTTTGAAAGCGCAGTCCAAGAGAAACAGAAAACACTCCCTCTTGACCATGTGGTCAAAAATGGGTGTAGAGGGAGAGGCGGCATCTGGCGGGTCGCCCAGAGAGAAGGGGGAGCAAATACACCCTCCTCGGCCTGCAATGTGCCCCCTCTACTGCCAGCTGCAAGCCATGGGTGTATGGCAGGAAGAGAGAGAGAGATAAATATGGAGGGAAACAGGTAGAGCTGGGAGGGAAAGACAGGCAGACAGATTAACAGGAGCATCAGTGAGAAAGACAGGCAGACGGAATCACATATAAAAGCGCCAGGGAGGAGGATACTGAGAAGCATGGAGGCATATCATGAACAAGGTCAGAAAGAAACCGCTTGGAAGAACAGGAAATGATACAGGATATATCCTCTCTCTCGCTCTGTCTCTCTCTCTCTTTCTCTCTCCCTGCACTCTCTGAAGCCTGTGCTGTAAGTGACAGCGCTGCAGAGGGAAGTTGACGTTGCTGAAGTATGAATTTCACCCGTTTGTGTTTTGCGGAAAACACGGAATCAAGGCTGTCTGTCTGGATCAGGGGCTGGGCCCTTGACCCCTGAGTGTCCCCTCCGGAGCAGACGGTAGGGTTTTATTGGCCAGTCAGATTCAATTTATTAAACACTACACAACTCTATTCTCTGCTTTTGAGTTAGTCTTTTCAAATGTGGTTGTGATATGCATTTGGACATGGATATGAAAGGTATTTTTTTTTACTGTAGATACATGCCGTTTCCCTCACATTGATTATTGATAATTAGCATGTGTGATAACCTGTAATACAGCTGCTTATATACAAAAAGTGCACATTTAAAAACAATATTTCCTCAGCAGTTTTGAGATACATGTTTTAGCCACCTGTGATACTTTTCATCTCAGAATGAAACTAACATATATTAAGAGAGACAAAATTGACCTAAGGTGGATTCCTCATATGTACAGACTCCTTGGAAAGCAACAGATGATGTTTGTCTCAAACAAGACAAACAGATGAATCACACATGATACATCCTTTAACAGTGCAGACTGCCAACAAATCCAAGGTGAAATGAAAGGAAATATGCTACTTATGCAGCTGGACTCGGGCAAGACAAGACCTCAATCTGAAACGCAAACAATACGCATGTAGTATGCAAGTTTACATATCTGCGTACACATGTATATTTACACACCAATACACACACAGTCACAGAACAGTAGGTAATACGATATCCTCAGCTATGGAGTGGTGGGGTAAAGTGAGACCTTCCTGTAATCAAAAGAAACAGCGTGCTACAATAAAGGCTGTTTTGAAATGGTCTGTGGCCTGAGGGATGGATCCCTCTGTTGGAATGAGGAAGAGAAAATGGAAACTAAGCTGTGTGTCACAGAAAGAATAGAATAAATAAAGTAGAACAGAGTGGCAGAGAAGTGGCAGGCTGTGCAATCTTAACAACATTGTGTTGAGTTCAGATCTATTTTCTATTCACCCTTTGTCTTCTTTTCCTTTCTCCTCTCTTCTTTTGTCTCGTTTTCTATCCTGACATTGCAGGTTGCAGTGTGTTTGTGAGTCTCTTGGGTGACATCCATCATTCGAATGGATAGAGGCTATGCAACAGCAGCACTACAGCGAAAGGAGGGCAGGGCGTATTCCCTTTCCAAAATCCACAGAAACACCAGTCTGGAATCAATTTGCTATCATACTACTGACCCTAAAACACACACAAACACACACATTTTAAACCCTAACCCTGGTGAGACTGGCCTGTGCTATTTTTCATCCCTGTAAGTTTATGCGTTGTAATGTTGTATCAGGTCTGGGATATGGTTCTCTGCTACATCTCTGACTTCACCTGCTGCTGAAGCTCTTTACCAGAGCACTGGGAGTTAACTGCTGCCATAAATAGTCAAAGGAGTGTGTGCAGCGATCTGCAGGGCAGTGCAGGGCAAAGATATATCTGACAGGAAAAGAGCAAATCTCCTCTCCATGCTACATGCTGTAAAAAGTCACGTTTCAGCGCTTAAACCTTCAGATCAGAGAAGTTGATTTTTGAAGAAATAAATAAATAAATAAAGAGAAAGTATGTGAGGTGTCTGCTGTACACTTAATTTGATTTGCTAGCTACTGTCTCAAAAATAGATTGCACATGGACAGAGCATTTACAACATTACATAAATCAAGTCAGTTCAGAGGAGAAGAGTATCAAAATAAATTTTTCATTCGTGAAGCCACATACAGTATGTATTAAGTAGTATAATAAGGAGAGTTTGACATCATTACCATCAATGCAGAGGTGTAGATATAAAGTGAACATACTGTATACAGAGGCCTCATTGATGAAAACATGCTTTTTTTTTTAAGAGTAGTTGATCTTTTCATTTTCATTAAATCAGTCATTCTTATGCTTGCTCTCAATGACCGCCGAGCAAAAAAGCTTCTAGTTAGCTCCTAATTGTCAGTTATATTTGCAGAACAGAGTTTGATTGCATTGACGCTGCATGCATATGGATTAATAAAAATGAGTTAAGTTAGGTCTCATGTAGATGTGTTTATTAAATGGACATGTGATTGAAAATTACTAAAAGTTCATGTTCTGTTAGCATACATTAGACATATATATTTAGAACCCTTCATGATCAGAAAATGTCATCTAGATTAAAAGACATTGTTTTCAGGCTCTGGCCAGTTGACAGCTAACTGTGTAAAATTTGCTGTGAGGTGGTGCAATGGGCGTCATTAAGACAAAAAAAAAATTCTGGACTTGTGGTAGCACTAAAGAAAAGCAAAGAAATATTAAGATTAATCCGCTGGATACCACAAATATCCAGAGCAAATTTCATGGAAATCTGGCAATTGTTCGAGTGTTACATGAACAACCAACTAACATCGCAATCATTATCCAGGACAATAGCAGAACAAAAAAGATTATTTTTTTGAGACTAAAATGGACCTCCTATTCTTTTATCATGTCTGTTTTTATGAACTATTAAAAACATCTGTGGCTTGTTAATTATAATATATAATATAACACTCCAGTAAATGAACAGACAGTGTATTGTTCCTCTGTGGCTCTTTGCTGCCTCACCTCTGCCTCTGCCTGCTTAATTAAAGGTTAATTGCGTAGAATAAGTATGCACCTCTTGCAAATGGTCCACATTTCTTTTTCCATCCATGCAGAGCCGAGCTTGTGTGTTGGTTGGGTAGGAGATCTGGAATTTATCAACTTGTTCAGGAAATGAGAGCCAAGCTTTACCTAACTCAATGTGTGAGCAGGTACAAAACCAACATATGGGAGTGTGTGTAAAGTGTGTTCTCACACACCATCCATACACACACACACAAACACAGAAGAATTCAGTACTCCCTCTGTCATTTTTAATCAAGAATATGATCCCTCATCCCATCTGGGTTTTTTGACTTGGTGGGCTGCAGTGCGCACACAATAACACATCCGCTTATGAACACTCTCACACACACACACGATACACACACACACATGCATATGCAAACACGGATAGACAATCTGTGTGGTTGCTGAAGCTGAGACCACCAACTGTATGCTGGGGGTTGGCTTAGCCATCACAAAGAGCAGATGGTACTACTCTTGTTTTTAACAGGGGCAGCCATTGTAGTAGCCGCTCTGACACAAACACACACACAGCCAAACACACGCATACACAAAAACTATCTCGGTTTTCAAAAACAATCCGATCAGAAAAGCAATGCAGTTGGCATGTAGTGGCAGAGAATAGGTATATTTTATAGTACAATGTTATAATCCCTTGTATTTAACTTAGTCGTTTGTGTGTCTGTTGTTCTTGTGTCTTTGTTCACCTTCAGGTTCATTTAGTCAAGTAAATCCTTGTCCTACTGTCAGAGGCCTCCTTATCACACCATGATCCCCTCCGCTCACTCACTGAATTTGCTTGTGTGTGTGTGTGTGTGTATGTACGAGGACAGAGGTCGATAAGATAACATTTGGTGGACCACCTGCCGGGAAGCTCAGTTTGCTAAATACAAAGTCTCATCTAACACATACATATAACTGTGTGTGTGTTGGGGGTTTACCGTTTACCTGAACAACTGAGGTGCAATAGTATTTGATTACTGATAATGTTATGAGGACAAGACCCACGTAAAAAAGAAGTGCAAAACATACAAGCTGTGAGTTTTTACCCATACAAGAAGATCATACAGACATGTGAACATGTGAAATCCGCACACAAAAAAAACTTACAGGTCATCTCAAGATTATGTTACTCTGCCATAACTCTTCCTCTAACGTCAATTTAAAAAAAAGACAGAAATGAATTTACAGAGACCAATTTATAAAAGCAATCTCCATCTTAATTAGTTTGTATTCCTAAAGCTGTCCCTGTGACAGGAAAACACAACCACATGTCACCTTTGTTTATCATAAGTTCAGAGTCAGAAGGAAAGTGTTACTATGGGAGTGGACATTAACAAGTTCTGCTACCAGCTCAGTGCCTCATAACCTGGTGAGAGAGGGGTGTCTACATCATTAGATTTAACTAGCTACACTGATAGCAACTCACAGGGTGGTTCACACACAGAAACAGAGAGAGAGGGAGAGATTGAGACGAAGAAAGAGAGGACTAAAAATAATAGTTCTTAATATTTCTGTTGTTGTGTTCACGGGCACAGTATAGATTAAATAAAGACGTGAATTCACTCAGCAATAAGTGACTGAAAACAGTTGTTCACTGTGCTCGTTCAGCCGTGCGTATGTACAAGGTTGGACACGCACTTGCAGTGTGTAGATGTGTGTGCGCGTTCCTCACAACTAAAGGAATTTTAATTGTCTGAGACAAAGGAGGATTTAATTTTTTCCCTGTACATCTATCTTTCACTCCTTCGCTCTCTTTGCTTTTTTTTTCACCGTCCTTTCTTCCATGAAACAATAAAATCGTCTGGCCTCTAAGTTATGGAGAGCTTTTGAAGTGGCTGGAGGAGCCAGTAAATTTAGTGGGCACCTTTGGGAGCCTGTTCAGTGGTGCAGTGGCTGCACCTATATTTCATGTGTGCATGTGCACGTGCCTTCATGAGTGTGTGTTTGCACGTGCATGTGTCCAGGCTGTGCCTCTTTTTCTGTGTGTGACACAAATGGGCTTAGATTTGGTGTGTGCACATGCATGTGTGTGTGTGTGGCTAAATGTTCGTGTATCTCTCTATTTCATAGTCATGCTGATTTGTGGCCGTCTACATTAGGTTTCCCAGGATGGCGTAAATCTCGCTGGACAAACTGCATTAGAGATAGATATGTATGCACGTGTTTGTGTATGAGTATGTGAATGAACTTGCACGAGGGCTATGTATTGTATAGTTTGGGTACTGCGCTGTCTTTGACCATCTGTGGCCAACCAGTGCCCATAGTTTTTGCAATGTATCTGATACCACTGGTGCTAGTATGCCTTTATTTGAGGTTGTTCTATACATTGAATCTGTGGCGAATACAGTCGATAAAATAAATCTCTCTGGCTGTGTGTTAAGTCTAGCAAATGCGTGATTTCACACATTTATTAATCTTTTCTCTTATTTCTCCACTTCTGCCTTTACAGTTTTATCACATATTCTCAATATCTATTGCAAGCATATTATAAGACAGGCTGCTATTTGTTTTTAGTTGGTTGTTAGTTGCAGGACATATGTGCTTTGTGTTATGTTTAAGTACAATGTCTAACAGAAGACAACTAAGCATAACCTGTCATTTTTTGTTGCCACTACTTTTTGAAGTCAGCTTGGTGTCTCTGTGCCCTGACCCATTTTAGACTGGTGACTTGATCCTTTCTTGAAACACCCATCCCGTAACCCCACATGGCCAAGTCATACAGGAGTTATAGCACCACTAAAACATTGTGCCTCACTTTTTAGACAGTAATACTGTAGCTCCATATAGCTGACAGCACTGGCTACAACTCAATTCAGAGATATCTCACTCCTCCATCAGGTAGAGGTCTGTGAAGGCCCAGCAACAACATGAAAGTTGAGACAGAAGATCCCAGGTCAGTTCTCAGATTAGAGATCAGTATAGGGTTCACTGTCTTGCTCAAAGGCACTTCAGCAAGGACATACATAACAGTTCATCCAACCTGCCACCCAAACTCAATTATCTCCATTCACCAGATCCACCTGCTCCCTGCACAACACAAAACCACGTCCCATCTCATCTTCCACAACTTTAACCATCCAAGCCCCTCTTAACGCTCTGTCTGCCACTTCTCATTCATAATTGTCTGCCTCCAAGATCTGCACTGTCCCAATACAATATGTATGTGCTGAAATAATGGCACTGTGTTTATACCTATTTTGATCTCTTTGCCATCTCTTCACTCATTTGTTGCATCCCAGTTTATTAATCTTATATATCACAATGCATATGTATTATAATACTCAGCAACAAATGCATCATCTGAAGTTAGTGATGGAAGATGGGAAATGTGGAAACAGAAAAGATGAAAAGATGTAGATGTAAAGATACAATATGCAGCAGGAGAAAATTAATAGCTGTTTTTAAAAATAACTTCTTTCTCTTCTGTCTCTTTCTGCTCCTGTCTCTCTTTTTCCTCCACCTCCCTCCCTCCCTCTTTCCTAGACACCTGTGCAGGTCTAGTGTTTCAGCCGAGTCCCTGAAAAATAAATGTGGAGCTTCAATCTCTTAATCCACTCGGCTCCACGCAGCCACGTCACATGACACCGCCACGGCCGTCCCAATGCCCAGACAACATTGGAGGGAGAGATTGTTTTGTGTGTGTGTGTGTGTTTGTCTTTGAGAAAGAGAGAGCCAAAGAAAGAGAAAGCAACAGGAGTACACAAGTGTAAACTGTGTTTGCATGTTATACGGTAGATTTTCTGTCCAGTTTACATGTGTCTATTTGAGTGGCTGGTACTGTATCTTAGAAGAGGAACTGAAGTTGGGAAAGGGGAGGCAGTCTAATCTTTTTTCATTCAAATCAAGGTCCACATATTGTGTGTGCGTGCGTGTGTGCGTGTATGTTTTGGGATGATACCCTATCCACAGCAATCAGTCTGACCTCCACTCTGGAGTGAACTGCTCTCAATGATTAATGGATCTGCCTCCGTGCTCGGTCACCAAGGCAACCCGAAACCTGATAGCCCTCAGGAATTCGCTAGCTCGCCCTCAAAGTTAGGCTGTGTGTGTGTGTGTGTTGCTAGGCTGTGGGTGGGAGACAGACTGAGGCTAAATGTGACTCTTTGGAAAGATGGAGCTGGTTGTGGTAAAGGTGGGAGAGAGGTCTGTCTCAGTCAATAAAACAGGGTGAAGACAATTTTACATTATTTCGTCTTTTATTGTTTTCTTGAATTTATATTATGCATTTTAATGTCATGCTTGTCCAGACTCCTAGTATGTATGGTTTAAGGCCATTACTATAATAGCAATTTTTGGATCAAGTAAAACCACACCATACTTTGTGTCAAATATGTGCATTTGTTTGTATGTCATGTTACTGTCTGCTATGTCTCTGTGTTTAAAAGCTTGTGTGAGACCCTTTGTCCATCTGAACCCACTGATGAGTAAATCCATGTTAACAAGATGGTAGCTCTTAAGTTGAAGTGCTGCAGCCCAGCTTTGTGGACTGTATGCTTGACAGACCAACTTAACACTACTATGTTATTTTCAAAGGGCCACTTAACACCTTATTGATCTGGAGACCATTGGGGCTCATTAGAGGAAGGCTCAAGGTTAGTGTGGCAGACATGTAGCACAGTCTGATACTTTGAGGCCAAATGGACTAATGCTAATATATCATCCCTTCTATATCAAAGAAATCCTGATGGGCTTTAGTTATTTTATTTTCTTTTAATCTCTTTGGTAGTATGCATACTTTATAATCCCCCAACATTAATAACCATAGAGTTGTGACTTGTGTACAAACAAAAGACATTTATTCTAGCTGCCAGTATTACTATGTAAATTACCTCATTTCTTTGAATTTGAATTTATTCTCTCCCTTAGCCAAAATGCTAAATGCCATAAGACAAATTGGTTGCCAAGTATCCTGTGTTTTGTTACAAGTTCTCAATAGTGAGGTGTAGCCACAGAGTTTTTCAAAGAAAAAGGAAGGAGGAAATCAAGTTTTATTTACAGGGCCTACAGAGGTACTGTTTTATTATTGTTGGTACAAAACTAAATTCCATAACAATGATGCAAAAATGTTTAGGTACCTTCCTCTCTCAAAACATACACACCACACACACACCTCACACACAAAAGGGATTGGTGTCTCTGTCCATGACCAGGGACAGTGCAGAGGAGTTTGAACGTGTTGTCTGTGTGGTTCCTGCTAGAGATTCATCCGTGAGCTATCAAAATGGCTGTAATGCAAAGATATTTATGCTCACTCACACACACATACACACGTTTACATTCAGCCCTTTGTCACGGTACAACTTGTATGTGGGGAGCCTAGTTTAAGCGCTGGACAGTTTAACAGCCTAAAATGTTAGGACGTTTTCCTGTTGAAAAGCTAAAAAATCATGCGCATGAAACGTTTAGACTAAAACAGTAAGTTCTGTGGCTCTTAAGCACTTCACTATAACCACAGCTGCTTATGGTGAGGTGAAACCATTTTGGGTCCAATGACAGAAATAGACTGTTTGCT